AAAACAATGGAATTAATTACACGTACTTGGCTTAAAAACCGAACTCAGTTAAATCCCAGGTAAGCTGCTCAGCTACTCTAGTCGGTTTATCATTTAATTTACCTAATATGATGAGTCTTGTCTATTCATAAAGCCGCAGAAACAGCTACAGCTACATGATCCACCTGCTCGGGTTTAAGTCGCATTTATAGAACAATTGATTCACCGTAGACAGAATTCAATTTCGTCTGCGAATTTCCCTGCTTTGCATACTTAAAACTCTTTGAGACCAAAATTAGCCCGGAGCTTACCCACTCCCCAAATCAGTATCTCCCGTTTTGGCGAATACACCCATCGCCCTGTTGTTTTTGGGGAATTACTCACTCAGACATGGGGCTACATGACGTATGCTTGATACACAGCAAATTCCAGTCAACAGGCGACAGAGCTGAAAGAAAAGCGAAAACACAGTCGAATTTTTGTGTGTGGCAGCAGTTCCAGGGAATTTTGCTTTTCGCAAAGGCGGAGGCGTCGGCGGAGACGAGCAATTTGGCAAACGAACAATGACAACTGGATGACATTTGAATTATGCCTGCGCAGCGTGTGTGTATTACAAGGTCGCGGTTTCTGCGGCCACCTGTGCGTATGGGCAACGTGCCGAAATTATGGCAACGAGAGCTTCGCATGTCGTCTAATTACATCGACAAAAACTGATTCATTTAAGCCAACAACTTTCTCGAGAACAAGTGGTAAAAGTAAAACGATAAGGATGGCAAGAGATAGAAAGCAAGGAGATACAAAACTTTGACAGGATATTTGTAGGGAAGTCAGACTGACTGACATCCTGACACAAATATTTACAGATTGTAACTGTATTTATGTTGGTGCCATGGAGAACCACCGCCCTTCCACTCCTTGGGCTAGACATTCTGTTTTTTCAGCCGGCTGTCATGACTGGCAACTCGTGTCCATGTGAGCCCCCAAGTGGCATCACCATCAAGTCATCGTCGTGACAAACGGCTATGCAGCCCTCCAGCGGTTGGCTTGCAGAGTTCGCCGGGGAATCCCCCATCCTCAGACCCCGTGTGCCCTTAGAACATCCGGCAAAAGTGCAAATTGAAAGAGACTCAAGCGGGGAGGCGGTGCTCGCATAATGCTTAGCCCTGCAGTTGGAAAAAATATAACCCAAGTTGGGGATAAAATTTCTAGGAAACTAATTAAAATCAGACACAATGCAACAGAATACAATTTATTTTGTAAATGTAAGAGGGAAAACGTAAGAAAAAGTTGTATTTTGCAATGAATACTTGAGATTTCCATATTTAAAATACTTTATTGCATACTTTTAGACAGCTTTAAAAGTGATTTAATATAGTGTGAGTAAATTAAGAGAGAAATAAAAGCGTTTAATGTTCTTTAAAACATTTCTTCGTATTTTGCAATGATTACAGCGGGTATTCCATTTTAAAATTTTTTATTGCATACTTTTAGACACCTTTAAAAATGGTATACTATCGTTAATGTGATTGTTTTTGTCCCACTGTTTAATATCCCACGATAAAATATGCCTAGTATTTCCACACTTTCTCACCGTGTGACCTTGGCTATTATCCTTTCCCCGACGCACTCGAGATCCTGTTGATGACACACACGCTGCATACGCTCAAAAGCTGCGAGCACTAATGGCATACTATAATTCTAATCTTTTTGTTTTCCTCTTGCATCTCTCGAGTTTCCTCGAGAGTTTTCCCTCATTAAATTCCCGGTCAGCAGCTTTAAGGTATACTTTGCCAAATTGTTGGAGGGTAAGCATTCCTTCCACTTGGCTGGCGAAAGCACTTATCTTAAATTTGATCAACTCAAGAAACAACTCCAGCTGTCCATCTTCACATGGCCAGGGGGCTGGGGGATTGACTTCTGGTTATTTCCCCTCTCGATATTTTGCACTTCCTGTTTTCTTTTTTTCGGCTAGCCATTTAGAAAACAATTTAAAGTAATGCCACTGCAGAAAAGCAAAGCAAACAAGAGGCGAATAACAAGTTTGCTTACGTGAAGAAAAAAAATGCAAATAAAAGAGCGTAAAACAAACAGTAGGCGATGGAAAAGTAAACAGGGTAGCAAAACAAGCAATCAATAATCAATATGGAGTAAATATTATTTTGAAGAGCGGTAAATAGCGAAACTCGATGCTGGCCTGAATTGAAAAGAAGATTTTCCCCAGCTTAAATTTCATTTCGCAGCTGATTGCTGGCCACTTTCCGGATCCCCTGCCACTTTCAACAGGGATATCTAAGTATTGTCTCTTCTCCGGGTATTGCCGATATATATCTATGACGGCACGAATCTGTGCAATATGGGCGTGACATAACTGGTTTATCAGTCGAGGGGCTGCCCCCATATCCACAGGACAAAGGACCACATATACAACCCTCATGCCATGCGGAAATCAGTTTTGACTTCAATTTCTCTTTCACTCTTACCTTTTACATTCACCCATATGATGGCCTTACTTACGTTCTCATTGTTGTTGGCCTGTTGTTCGGTGGACCATGTCCATAACGAAAATATTATTCAGGCCTGCCACTAGACTGCTTTTCATGAGCGAAATTAATTTCGGAAAATAGTTATTTATTTACACGTGAGAAAATAATGGGAATCAGTAATGACAATATAATATTCTTTAGTGATTAAAATATTATGGAAAATTGTATTCTACTGTTTATTTAACCTGCAAAAGGATTTACCTTAACAAAATATATATATATTTTATTAAACCTATAAAATATGGAATCCTTTAGAAAAATATTACCAAAACGTCAATTCTATAACGATGAACCTTGTAAACAAATACTATATCTTAGAAATTCCTTATAAGAAAAGATTACTTATTAAATTAAAATTCTCTAAAAGCAAAACTATATTTCTGAAGTATTTTTAAGTCTTGTTCTCTAATCATGTTTTGTAAGATTTTACAAGATACTTATTAACTTGTAACATAAATTGTTCAGATTTAGAATCGTGTTTTCTCTCAGGTGAAGAGCCCTCAAAGTCCTCGGACCACCCCCTTCGATTCCATTTTGTTCCCGTTCCATGTAATCAGTTAAGCTGTCAGACATTGTCTGTAGCAATAGCAACTGGCATTGGCATATCATTCTTCGCTATTGTTTGCAAAAATTATAGCATACATCTGCGGGCAACCGGCAGCTGTCATTCATTAATCATTTCATTTGTCACCTCTCCGGGACACACAGAACCACATGCACATCGACATCCACATCCACTGGTGATGAACGGAGCAATCATCCGGACTCCGGCCGTATATAGCCACTATATATTCGCAATTAATACAAAATTATTTCCGCTGGGCAGCAGCAGCAGTTTGTATGGCATAAACCACGGGGATTGCATGGCATATTCTTGCATAACGGCGTTCATCAAGCGACAATTAATTTATATAATCGAATTATGGCCCGGCACGATTTTAATTAATATTTCTTGCCCATTTGTATTGTGTCACAATAATATGAAACAACAATTATATCAGTCAAATGGAGCGAATCATCAATCAATTAATACCAGCGGCCAAAGTATTATTTAAAAAGCGCGTCTAAATAAATTCAGTTTCGCCACTTGAGCACTTAATTTACCCAGCTAAATTAACCTTTGGTTCATTTACAAGCAGCCGAAAAAACAGAAGAATGTAATAGAAAGAAAATTTAAATTTGCAAATCAAATTACTAAGCTTCCTACACATTAGCTGCTCGTTCTCCGTAAATTTCCTCCGCTTTCCCACCGCTTTTCACCACTTTTCACCGAGTATCTAGCGTCTATGCATATTTAAGCAGTGTGCTGGCTTTGCGGTTTCTGTGCCTCATGGAACGTGTTAATTGCAGCCACATTCCCCTGCCCCCTGCATCCTGTCCCAACGCTTTTCCAGCGCTTTCCCAATGCTTTTCCGCTGCCAACTGCAGCTGCCTAACAAATGCAATTAAAATCTTTGCGCAAAGAAATTGTTGCAGCAGGCACGCAGAGATACTATATGGTGAAGTAGTTTCCGAGGAAAAGCAGAAGCGGGGCGACAGATAACATATTACCCACGTCCCAGAGAAATGTGTATGGACAAAGCAAACTAGAAATAAAAAGAGGGTATCCCCCAAAAAAAGAACAAATGGCATTTATCTCTGGCCACGCTCTGGCCATACAAATCTAATTTAGACCGCACGATGGCTCTGGATATTTTATATTCCCCACTCTGATGCGGTCTCTCTAGAACTCGTCCAACGGCCCTGATGAGCCTGGCTGAATTCATTTATTTGTGGGCTGGTTCGGGTCGGATGGTATGGGTTTTTTAGGAACCTAAAAGGCTGCGTTCCAAATTTACTCATTTACAGGCTTTAATGCCCTAGAAATGTTCGTATTTTTTGATCTTTAAACACTAATTAAAAGATATTCTCTATTTAAAATTGAAATGAACTATGTATCATATTAATACGGTATATATAAGGTATTTTCTTATGTATATATATGATATTTCGATGGTATATATTTGGTATTTATATGGTATATATTTGATATATATATATTATTATGGTATAAATATGGTATTTTTATTTGTGATAGTTCATTTAAAAATTAAATCTATTAGTTATTATTTACATTAAAGGGTAACAAACTATTCTTACTCTCAACCTTCTTCTTGTCCCTACCTCAAGTGCACTCCTTCCGCTGCTAATTAAGTTGCAAGCCAGCTTTCTCGGCAGACGTTGCACGAAGTGGATGGGATGAAAATCCCTCCGATTTGCCGACACTATGAGCATAGAATATATATATTTTGCGGGCTACTCGCTAATCGGCTTAGGACAGGCACCCAGGGACCATCGCAGTGCATCATGCAATATTTAATCACATTAGTTGATGGGGTAACGGGCCGTGTACGCAACAATTTACAACTAACATTAATTATACGTCATGTAGAACAATAGCACCGCTAACATCTCCTCCACCTCTCTCAATATTTGCAGGGGCTGCCCGTTGAAAATTAATTATTAATGCATCTGCTGGGAAGGATATACACGGCTGTCCTTGGCAGCAAGTGCAGCAACAGTGAGTGACAGGCGGCAATCACAAAAGACTTGCAGCAACAGCAGTTGCAACAACATCAACCATGGCCAGTGGCAACAATGAAACTGCGCCGCTCTACTGTGGCAGCGGCATGGATAATTTCCACACAAGGTAAGCGATTTTCCCGACTTTCCCCAATGTCACGGGCAAGGCCAAAGGGGCTTTTCCCCCAGACATGGCGTCAACAAATATCAAGACCAAGGGGGCAAAAACATCGCCATTAGCCTCGGGAAACAGGGAATCGTTCAGAAATCGATTATCGCCCCCATTTTTGGGGGGTAGCTTCAATTTTGATTTGCCATACAATTTTCTCGGGCGATTAAACGAAGCAGCAGAGGCCGAGGCAGAGGCAGAGGCAGAAAAAATAACAGAAAAACAGATTTGTCAACAGCAAGGTCAACAATTGATGGCTGAAATCAATTTAATTGACCATTTCCAGTAGGCCATCCCAGTGCCCATCTGCTGCACCCATAAAAAAGTGAATCCGGGCTGCGGCTATTTATATATTCGTTGCATGCCAAAAGGTCGTAAAACCTCAAGATGATGATTAAAGGCGGTACTAAAAAATTTATGGCGGCCCAGGAAATTCAATTCCTGTCATTTTAGCCAAGTCACCATCGTTCAAGTTTCATAAATGCAAGCGATAATAAATAGTAAAGCCAATTGGCCAATAAATCTATCAATGTTGTGTCGTTACCCTGATTAGGCTTCGATTAAGGTGACGTGGCTGATTTTTGTAGAGGAAAACCATTAGGAAATCTAATCCATTTCCTTAGAGTTTCATAAATAAAATAAAGTGGACTTAAGTTCCGAAAAGGTCTGAACGTTGTTAAATCCCATCGTTAACTAAAAGTTCAATAAATCTAAGCGAATAAATTATTTAAATAATAAACAGGTATATAACCTTAGTCACATTTGTCATAAATTTCAAGGGCAACACATTTTCGTCGCTTTAATTAATATATATGTTCTAGTAAGCTCAAATTTTGCTGACTGATGGGCCATAAAAATATTTCCTAGTTTACTATGCATATTTTTCCCCTCCCTCTCGGTTTCATAAATTAAGAATATTACCCAATCGGCACATAAATCATTGATGATCATTTATTTGCCGTGTGATTAAGCTGCGCTCTGTGTGAACTGCGAATTATTCATTCTACGGTTGCGAGGCAGCCACCAAGGGGTCGCCATCTAGACCAGGGCTTTTAGTTTTAATTAGAGCCAGTCTGGGCAGTGTTAATGGCCACAAAGTGGCTGGCCACAGCATCCCAGAATGCCGCATTCGCTTTAACTAAAGGTGGAAGAAGCTGGAGTTTGAAAGATGACTGTATGGCAATTAGATGTGTAGCCAGAACACTTGGCCATTTACTTTTGTGTCAAAGACGTGCCAAATTGCCGGCGAAGGCGACACTTGACGCTGTCACGCCCCAGACAGACAGAAGACCGCCCTAGAGTCACCCAAAAACCACCCACTCAGTCGTCTCCAGGCGCCACTCAAGCGGCAATGGTACACCAAAAGACCAGAGAGCCAAAAGAAAAAAACACACACAATTCAAACGCCAATGTGTCACACACTGCCACATCGAAGAAGCACAACCCTTCCCCTGGCGGCAACGTGACGTATACGCAATATATTTGGCAAAGCAAAAAAGGCCCACCAAAAAAAACGCTAAGGAAAAACCGCAACAAAACACGCACAAAACAAGCAATTAACATAAATAATAAAGAACGCACAAAGGCGGTTCTTGGTTGCCAAAGAGAAAAGCCAGTCCCTAAAAAACGAAAATGAAAAACCCTAAAAACCGAAGACCCAAAAAATGTGTAAAATTGCTTTTCGGAAAATATTTAATTTTCCAAATGCGTTGTCGCTTTTTGCGGCCGTGTATTCCCCAAACAAATAAAACAAATAAGCGCACATATCGTCTGACGTTTCATGTTAAAGGCTTCTCATTCTGATGGACAGGATACACAGAAAGTATAAACGTGAAGTGAGGTGTGTCTACGTGCCCCGAAAACAGCGAAATTGAAACGCTTTCCAAATGCCGGCGACACTTTCACACAACCCTCGTCTTTTTGGGCCAACTCCTGGGGAATTTACAACTCCATTCATCAAACTCACAAAAACTTTTGGCTGCAACACATTCTTGGGTCCGCTGTCGCAGGATTTTACCTTGGTCCAAAATCCAGACTCCCGAACCTACGCTGAGTCTAATTTATGGCCTTTGATAATCCATGTTGATGAATGGCGGCAGCGACAACGACGTCGACGACATGAATGAAGTCCTGGAATTGTTTTGGGCCAGGACAGTATAGGCAGGAGGGGGACTGGCTCAAAGTTATTGGCCTAGAAATCGAGCATAGTCAGCTGTGGAAATGAGCCCCGAAAAGCAAGAAAACTAGACAATAAACACTGTTGTACACCGGAAAAATGCATATCATTACGAAATCCTTGTTAAGCAGTTAGGCTATTAATTTGTATTATTAAACAGAGAAAAATGTCTAGCGAAATAGAAATAAAAAATCAATTTTCGGTCTCCAAAAGTATGCAGTGAATAAAGCTTAGTCGCCTTTCTGAATAAATAAATTTTATTTCTGAGCTTAACATATATTGTTGCATACTTTCAGCCCTTGTGATTTGGGTTCCTACCCGATAATTTCTTATTCCACTTTCCATTAATAAGTCATTAGGAATATCTCCATTTTCTCCCTCTGTAAGTCATTCAAATTACAATTAATTTAAAAACTTTTCAGTCAAATTTTTCATACAGTACCTTTTCATACCTTCAGATACTTAAAATATTAGTTTAACCTTATCATTAATCAAAATCAATCGATTTTTTGCCTCTGTAAGCCGGGTCAGCATAAGCTTGTCAATGAAATCCCTACGAAGGACATAACTACAGAATCGAAAGTTTCATGCCAGGTTGGACATAGTTTTTCTTCTCTAGTTACCAAAAAGAATAGAGACAATTTCCAACTCCCCCCTGTAGTTGATTGCATGCCCGGTGAACAAAGTTTTTTCAGTTGGTTTGGGGCAGAAATTCCGTTGGCAAACAAATTAATATGAACTGCCAAGCAAGCAAGCATTTTCCGGCAGTAAAGCTTTCATCTGTGTGGAGATTGGAATGAAAACTCGGGTCTGGATTGCATGAGACCACCTGCAGTTTAAGGTAACACGACTAAAAAGTTGCCCACAAATTTGGCTTAGATTCTTCAATAAAACTGTCATTTGGTTCGCTGTGGGAATCCCCCCATTGTTTCGAGTGAATGGGGAATTTCGCACGAAAACAATAAACAATTTAACTAAAGCCCTGACACCGACAGGCGAAGCACAGGACACACACGTGTCACTCCATTTTGGAGAGAGCTGGGAGTTTATTAGACATTTTTTCCAGCCAGTCAACCGCAGGGTTTTCATTTGCATCCTGCAGGCCTTAAAGTGTCATGTTTGTGGGCCTCTCCTCGCATTTCTCCCATAGAAATTTTATGCTAAGTCTAATTTGTTGGCTGCAACTTGCATAAAAGCGGGTGTGGCAAAAATAAATAGGATAAAAATGCTGAAAGGCAAAGAGTTGCTTCGGTTTTCCTGTGCCAAATTCCGTAAAAGTTTAGCTAGAAATTTGAATTCTTCCCCTGGGTTTCCCCTTTCCCGCGTTTTTTTTTTTCGTTTTTGGTCTCAAAGCGCTCGACGAAAACTAAACAAAAGCTGGTAAAATGTTTATCCCACAAGGGGCGGCGTGGGCGTGGCTATCTTAAGCCCTAGGACCTAGTGAGTTTATTGCCTCAACTGCTGCAAATGCCTCTGCCTGCCAAGTCAACGGAAATGGCTTTTGGATGGTTTTATTGCCTGCTTGGCCAAGAGAGAGAAAAGTAACAAATTGGTTAAGGCTAACTAGAGCATAATAACCGAAACATAATTTGGCAAATGCCTACCACTCACTCACTTATTTTTTTTCGATTTGTGTCTACTTAAGCTTGAGATACAAGTAGCTTTGCTTACTTGTAACTTAGACCCTTCCAAAAATGTTTTGAAATCCAATAAATCCTTTGCCTTATTTTCTAATTTCAAGATAGGAAAAGCCACAAATTGAAATGAATTCAATTTTTTTTTATAAAAGTACTCAAAAGTATGCAATGACAAAAATACACATACTTAAAGAATAAGTCCCTAATTTGTTGCATACTTTTAGACACTTTTGTATATGATTTAAAATACATACCTATAATCTGTGACACTACGCTCTTTACTAATCAAAATTTTTTTTATTCCCATCTTTATTTTTTAGCTACAAAAACATGCATGGCTATGTTTCGCTGGTGGTCTGCATCCTGGGCACCATTGCGAATACCCTAAATATTATTGTGCTAACGCGACGGGAGATGCGTTCCCCGACGAATGCCATTCTCACGGGTCTGGCGGTGGCCGATCTGGCAGTTATGCTGGAGTATATACCCTATACCATACACGACTACATCCTAACGGATAGTTTGCCGCGAGAGGAGAAGCTCAGCTACAGTTGGGCTTGCTTTATCAAGTTCCATTCGATTTTTGCCCAGGTCCTGCATACCATATCGATATGGCTAACCGTAACCCTGGCCGTTTGGCGTTACATAGCTGTGGGCTATCCCCAGAAGAATCGCGTTTGGTGTGGCATGAGAACCACTATAATAACGATAACCACAGCTTATGTTGTATGTGTCTTGGTGGTATCCCCTTCACTTTATTTGATCACGGCTATTACGGAATATGTCGATCAGTTGGACATGAATGGCAAGGTGATAAACTCGATTCCCATGACCCAGTATGTAATTGATTACCGTATCGAGATAATGAGTGCTAAGGCGGCTGCTTTAAATGCCACGCCTCCTAGTATTGCACCGCTGAATGAAACTATGTGGATGAATGTGAGTTCCTTGATAACGTCGACCACCACTTCGGCACCACCCACTCCATCGCCAGTGGTGCGAAATGTGACGGTCTATCGGCTGTACCACAGTGATTTGGCGCTGCACAATGCCTCACTGCAAAATGCCACATTTCTTATATACAGTGTTGTGATCAAGCTGATCCCGTGCATAGCACTTACCATACTGTCGGTTCGGCTGATCATGGCATTATTGGAGGCGAAGCGGCGCAGAAAGAAACTGACCAGCAAACCCATTGCTCCGGCAGCCAGTAATGGTACCAAATCGATGATCAACGGAAAAGCCGCCGATAGACCGAGGAAAAATAGTAAAACCTTGGAGAAGGAGAAGCAGACGGATCGTACTACTCGGATGTTGCTGGCGGTGCTGCTGCTTTTTCTGATCACCGAATTTCCACAGGGGATTATGGGTCTGCTGAATGCCGTACTCGGAGATGTCTTCTATCTGCAGTGCTACTTAAGACTGAGTAAGTGGAAAATATATCAAAAGTTCACAGTTGTGATATTGTATCTATTATACATAAAAGATACTTTATCATTTTATATATTTTATAATTTATTCTAATAACCTTTGCTTTTAAAAACACTAGTCGTTCAAAGTACTTAAATATGAAATATATACTTTTAAAATATTACAATACTTGTATAATATAATTTAGTGCCTAAAAGAATGCAATAAATAAGGGAAAGTCGTGGATCATTGAACATCTGAGCTTAAAATATATTATTGCATACTTTTTAACACCTATTTAAAAGCGATTTCGAAATGCCAGTGCTTTGCGTGGCACCCCGAATATTTTTAAGACCGTATAAATATGTTATTCAATTACCTTTAATATTAGCCAAAATGTCTGCCTCTGCTGGGACTAATTCAAACCTTTATTTCAAATTCTGCCCCCCTGCCAGGTGACCTCATGGACATTCTGGCCCTGATCAACTCCAGCATCAACTTCATTCTGTACTGCTCGATGAGCAAACAATTCCGGACAACGTTCACGCTGCTATTTCGTCCCAAATTCCTGGACAAATGGCTGCCGGTGGCGCAGGACGAGATGGCAGCAGCTCGAGCCGAACGCTCGGCGGTGGCACCTGTCCTCGAAAAAGGACGACAACAGAGCCAGGTGGTGACGGCCGCCACGACCACCAATATCACACAGGTGACGAATCTGTAGCACAGGAGGAGGAGTCGTGGTGGCCGCACCCTGCTCAGCTGCCTGCTGAGTGTCCTGAAACGCAGCAGAAGGGAGTCCTCCGGCGGAAGAGGAGGAGGAGGAGGTCCTGTGGCCGGAAACGGGGCAGTGGAGCCTGAGGCGGATCCCCTGGCCCTGCAGTTCCAGGCCGTTGTTGTTGTCGTGGACAAGGTGAGCGGGGCCACGGATCATCAGCTGTATACCGCAGAACCATCTCGAATTGTGACGTAGTGTCACCCAGATGATATATATTATACGCTTAGTTACCCTTGTAAAAAGTGAACTAGTTGTATAAGAGTCCCCAGCTAAGCTCGAGTTATTTGCATACTTTGGTGAGAAATCGTAAAAGCCGCATGGTAATAGCAATAAAACGCTTGCACATCACTCATACGCACCATTGGATTCGGCTATATTCCCTCTTCACACTCAAGTGGAAGCTGTAAAAATACTGTGCATGAATTCGCAAATAAAACTTACAGCTGGGATCAAAATATTAGTACTACTACCTTCGCTTTAAAAATGTTTCAAATTTTTGAAATACTTTAATTTTGTACTTACCTTAAATGCTATTATATTACTCCAAAGAGACCTTATTTTGTTTAAATGGAAAACGTATTATTTTTCTTTTTATCAAACATACTTCTTATTTTATATTTGGATAAAGTTTAAATTTGTATGTTAAACCCCTAAAAACTATCTGCACAGCTATTATTTTGAACACAGCTGTACAGCTTTTCTACATCAATCAAATCAAAAATGGTAAGCTCTTGCATCTTTTTCATTTTGATCCCAAGCGCTTTCATGTTGATTTCATTCGCATAAAGTATGCAATAAACGTGCTCACTCAAAACTACGAATTTTTGGCATCGATTTAAGGAGTATATATTTGCAAGATGTTGTAAATACATAAAATATAGACACACATTTATGTCCGTATGTTTATTAATGGCAAATTAGACTTAATTGTACGCAAGAATGTCTTAGAAATATTTTTATAAACTTAGTTGAAACGATTTTGATGCAACCATTGGAAAAATAAATGGCAGTTGCAGTGAAATGCGTTAGTTAAATAAAATATTTTGTAAATTCTTTTATACGAAATCGGATTTTGGGCTGTGAATGAAATTATGATTTTCCTTAAACTCGTTTGGGAATTCTCTCACGTTTCATGGGTTTTTTCTGAATTTATTGGAAATAATTTAAAGGCAGTCACTGCATCTGACCGAATAATCCAATGAAACAATGCATAAATATTTGCAAACCTTTCCTCTCTTGGGAAAATTGCAATTGAAATCGCTTAAGCCCCTCGACAAATGACAAATGGCCAGCGAACGCATAAATTATGATGATTGAAGTATTTGCAATTGAGCCCCGACAAATATTTTCAATCTCGTTAATAATGAACACATAAATCAACCACACACGACCTAAAAATAAGTACATGTGAATACACAAAAAATAAATGTAATTATGTGTTGCTTTTACAACGATTAAATTAGCTACTAAATTGAAGAAAATTACTCTAAATCCTATATATTTAATTATAAAGTTGCCACTTTGCTTACTGAAAGTAAGCGTAAATAATAGATTAATTGTTGTTTGTTATACCCATTTAAATTGACGGATAAGTGTGATTTAAACTACTCAATTAACGAATTGAGGGCCACAAAAAAAGGTTTATGAAAGCGTAATTAAGTTTTTATATAGCTAATGAAAAAAGGTTTAAATCGAATTGAACAGCTCACTGATTGGTATTTAAATTTAAGCAAAAGGCTAAAAACACATAATAAAATTGAATTAAATCCACAAGACTTGTTTTATTACTGCCCGAACATCATTTTCGAACAATTTATGCAAGTTTTTCAATTATTTTTAATATAGGCCAATAAATGACCGAATAAACTCCTCTTTGAAACATATTTTAGGGAAGTTTAATTTGCTTTAGCCAGAAAATACGGCGAAACCGCAGGGAAAAGTTCACACAAATATATAGAACGAAAAGGGAATCCAAAACAATAAGCATGAGAAATGGGCCACAAAACTTTATGGCCCAAACGAGCACGGGCAAAATGTGGCAGGAGTTGAGCAAAAGATGAGAAATGTTGGCTGGCAACTTTTTCCCTAGTTCCAAGTAGTTGTTGAAAATAAAAGATTACTCCAGATTGCACTGGCACTGATAAGCCATGGAAATGGTTGTCTAAAAGACAAGTTAGTTGCGGTCAAGACTCGAAACTTCCAACATTTTATTTGGCTTAATGTTGGCGGACAGAGTGTACATCATCGGAAAATTCCCAGTAACTTTTTCTTTAAAATGCAAAGAGAGAGAAAGCAAAGTTGAATGGGTTTACCAAGGATAATCATCTTTGAACGTCCCTCATTATCTGTAAGCATCGCAGCCCTGGCTGATTTCCGCCCTTTTGCTTATTGAATTATTAAGCCATTTAAAGGTTGTTCTCCCCTCTTTTAATCTGCTAATTAACTCAATTGACGCCTACCTGGGCTTACCTTTAGCCAATTATATGCCTACTCCTTTAGGTCTTCACTTTTGGGTCCGCCAATAAGTTTACAATTTTGTAATTAATGCCCCATTCTGACAGCTACAATTGGCTACGCTTTTATTACCGCCACTGTTTATTTGGCCGTGCTCAATTAAATATGAATTCGGAACTTGGCCCTTTGAATACCAGGCCATAAAATGCAGCAGTGCGGGACCAGCTTGCGGCACTCATAAACACATTTTATCGAAGGCAGTTAGCCGAAAAAGAGGAAAAAAATGGCCAAACTTTGGCCATTATTGGAACGTGCTGCGACTGGGAAAAGAACGGCCTACGATTGCAGGCATAGAACCATGCAACGTACACAGGAAGAAATATTTGGTGATAAGCAAAGTCGGTCTATATAAATATATATCTGATTATTAAGAAATAATTATTTTCTTTAGCACATTTAACTTATTAGTATGACATTACTTGAATCTGAATATTAAAATATAATAGCAAACCTTTTTCAAAGAACACTCTTACGTTTTGGCTGTTTATACTATTTTATTTCTCTTTTTTCCCAGTACACAAACCTCTTTTGGGGAAAAGCCTTTAACGAAAGTCTCAGCTGCCAACACAATGTCTTTAATTGCCCGTAAATTTTGAGTAAACTTCCCATATAGACGAATCACATATTAATTTAATAATGGTTGTTTTCATACACGTTAACCTGTTGAGTATACGCACCGTGGGCTTGACAACTTGTGGCGCTGCTGCTGGTGCTTCAAACTTTCCATATGAAACATTGATTGAAAAACTTTGCTCAGAGGGAACTGCTCCGCAAAGGGCTGCGGACCTTGAAGTCTCTGCCAGCTTTGCTGCACTTGGGTGTTGGGTGTTGAAAGAAAATTCCAGCTAGTTACCCAACGGGCAATATGGACAATGCCATGGCAGCAACTGAGAGCCCTGCTCGTTTTGGGGAAGTGGGATATGCAATCTTCAGTTTCCACTAGCCTTTCTCCACTTAAATGTTGGCCAAAAGGAAGCAGGCCTGCTCCGCCCACCGGGCTCAGAAAACCCCGACCCCGACCCCTCATCCCGTATCCATTTGCATAATGGATTTGGCTACAATTAGCAGGCAGCTGGCTGCTGCTCCTGCTACTGACATGACTTCAAGTCTGCCCACCGTCGGGTCCCACGCAAATCTCACTCTCTCGCAGATCTAAGCTAAGTTGGCTTTATAGATATATTACAAAAATAAAGAAAATTAAATAGAATGTTGTAAGACAAAAGATTGAAAACAATTTAGTTATTTACCTTTCTAATCAAAAAATTATACATTTTCTACATAGCTTATTTAACATGTTATTATTTACGTCAATAAACTTAAAACATTTTTTTAAAAGACCGGAGATACAGAAATAATATAGTATAGTATACTATTTTATAGTATAGTATTTTTTAAAGTTTTAAAAGTTTAAATTATTCCGCCTAAAGTCACCCCACATAAGTATGCTACGAAAAAAGAACGACGTCTTAAGGTTTTATTGTTGCCTACTTTTAGACACAAGTAAATATAATATAAGAATATCATTCTATGATAATATGTTATATAATAAGCCAATTTTTAAACTCAGGGACGAACATTTGCTTGGGTGTGACAAGTTTTTGTAGTTTCTGCGTTCTTAAATGAATTACTTGCAATTTCCGGCCTTGTGTAACCGATGGTTGGCAGCACTGAGCCACACAGCCGTGAACTTGATCATCCGAGCCCAAGGGGCTGACAGCAGCAGTCCTCCTGCAACATTGCATCACTGCAACATCCTGGCAGCCTGATTCAGTTCACTCGAAGTACAAAATGGGAGATGGGAAGTACGAAATGCGAAATGCGAGTGAAACCAAACCAACCAACCAGTCTGAACCGCGTCTTCTGTGCATGTCTCTCCAAGGCTTTTAACCCTTTCAAGGGGCTCGGGCTGGTACTCCGCAGTAATACCTGGCATCGTTGCCCCTAATTGCAGGCCCTTTAAAATACTTTTCGCAGCCAGGGGAGCGTACCACTTAACCGACGTTGGGGAATGTGGATTGTGTACTTTCAGGAGTCACTGTTGCCAGATTCGACGGCTTTTTTACGTTTTTTTGCGCCCATCCTGCAGCTGCAGCTACTGCGCGTTCTAATGAGGCTCATTAACGTAATTACGTGATGTTGGCAATAACTGGCAAAAATCCTTCCCTCTTGATTACAACGATGACGAGGGATTCTGTGTGCTCACACACTCCATTGCCTGCCACATGTATGTTTAATCCGTCTGAAGCCGAAAGCAGTTTGTTTATTAATATCTCGAAGTTATCCAAACGAATGGCCACAGATTAGCAACTAATTTATGAACTTTCCTTTGGGAATCATTGGCTGTACTTAGGAGTATACGAAGGGAGACATTTTTCCCACTTTTGGCCTCATTAGGTACAAAAGAGCTAAAAAAAAACAATTTAAATTTACATATTGTAATTTAAAAAATATAAAAAGAAACTACTAATGGATTTATACAATTCTTATTTTTATCAATGCACATTCTTTCTGACTAAAATTTAAGTAATGATATAACAATTAATTATTAAAGAAGAGTAAACATAAAATTTTATAAATAATGCCAAATAAATAAATAATAGAAAATCATTCACAATGTTTTCCCAGTTAAAGGGCCCTTCAAACTTTTACTACCACGCAAATCACTCAACCGAAAGTGATTTGTCAAATGCACTTTGCAGCCAGTGCCAAGCCCAAACTCAAAGGTACTTATCAGACTCACATATGTTTTCGATTTGCAGACTCGTGCTGAGCCGATTTAATGGAGGAATCGGAGCCACAGCAATTAATCTAATGGCAGACGTAGACCTGAGCCTAATGCATGCCTAAATAATTCAGGTGGAAATCAGCTTAATGTTCTAGTCTGCCGGCCATTTCGCAGAAAATTGAAAATAACATACTTAGGGATATTCAATCTTTGTCAAATTATTGCAACGGGACAGCAGCTGTCCTAAAACCCTGTCTGGCCGAAACGCAGCTTACATATAATTGCTTTTTCCGACCAGCCAACAATTTTTCACAAAAAATGTCTTTTTCTAGCTGAGTTTTTCTTGTAGCTGTCAATTGTCAGAAACTGTAGTTGGTGGGATTTCCTTTCGGTCAGCAGATTTGTGTCTTGAGATTTAACGCCACGCTCGAGCGCCTTAAAATCTCCCTTGATGCATTCGTTTTAAAATATGTCCTTTGAAGTCATTGCTATTTGGAAAATCTCTTAAGCTAACTTCAAAATTTCGGCCTGTTTTTAAAATGCAATAAACAAAACCACCTCAGGATGGAAAGAAAATATACAACAGAGAGGCGAGGCAATATTAGGATAAGAAAGATCTTTAAAAACTAGACTCCCTTAGGAAGGAAAATTAGTACGATCTGTTTGTTGTAATAATATGTCAATTTTTAATAAATGCCGATATATATTGATTTTATATAAGATTTATATATGACTTGTTAGGCATTAAACTTCCACCTTTTAATTATATCTCCCTCCTCTTTTTCAATTAATTTACCCCAACTAATTCGTATAGAAACTCAAGTGAGCCGCTCAACTTACCTAAATGCCATTTCATTACCTGTGTTTATCCACCGAGAACAAAATGAAACATGAGCGTGGAAAAAATGCCTGGGTGGCCGTTTGAAATTTATGGCGGCCTCTAGGAAACGGCTACCCGAAGTGGCCAAAAAATGTTTGATGTAAATAATTAACAAGCCCTGAGAGAGTTCGGGTGCGAGGGGATTTCTGCCCCATAGAGTTCTCTAGCAAAATGGCCTAATGTTAGCCAGCTTTATGGACCATGGAGCTCCAAGAAGTGGGCAGAAAAAAGAGGCTAGGAATTAACGCTGGTAATTGAGTGAAATTGCCACAAATAAAATGGCCAAGAATTCCCTAGCCTTTTTGTTGGCTTAAACTAACGTCGGAAGTGCGCACACATAAATTAGTCAAAATGTTGCCGGGTTGCCAAAAAAACAAAAAGAACGCTATAGAAAGCTTTAATTTTTTCTGGCAATGAAAGTTCGTGCTCTAGTAGATTTTGAATAATAAATAAATTATAACAAGCACTTGAAAGTTTATTAATATTTAACTAATGAAATTTGCCAAGAATTAGTTGACGCCCTGCGTTACTCGATGAATAATTGATCAAGTGAATTACGTCTTCAAAAAGTTTAATATTTAAAGCCACTTTCGAATTCTACGGAACATCGAAGTGCTGAATTTCTTGGCAACCAAATGGCCAGA